TGAAGATATGGAGTATAACTGGGGACCTGCCGACGAAAACAGACGGCAGGTGAATCCAATTCTGTTGGAAGAGTGGTCAAACTTTGGTGACTGTAGCATACTTTGCCTAAGCAACACAGCCAGATCCGTCAACACAAGAGACAACTTTCGGGAGGTGCAGCTTTACAAAACGTGGAAACCCGAAAGGACCTTAGCGTGCCGTCGACGAACTCCCTAAAACCACCCGCCCGTTGTTCGAGAGTGACAAACAGCGCAATTTCCGCACCGTACGCCACCATGCATATATTTATGGATTTTGACAAAACGCCTTCTCAAATATTTTCGAAGCATTTGCGCGGCCGCACTTGGAACACGGCATACAAACCTGGTGACCATGAGAGGTTCAGAATCGAAATTGTCTTGTAAGAGTTCATGGGAAAGCCACGAGAATGGTTAGGGGTCAGAGCTCCTCTCATTACGCAACCCACCTACTAAATCTGAACATCCTTCCCTTGAGTGTTAGGCAACTACGCGGGATCTCTTGTAAGTACTCCGCATAGTAAAGGGGCTGGACTGCAGTCTGACCTTTGCGAAATTTTTTTAAATTCGCTACCACGACTAATCGCCGAGGTCACCCGTTAAAACTGCGCACTCAGCATGAAAGGTTGGATGTACGGAAGTTCTCCTTCTCTGTTCGAGTGGTCAAACCATGGAATGCCCTTCGCACAGATGTTGTGATGTCACCATCCATACAAAGTTTTAAAAAGAATCTTGACATATTTATGTTTCAAAATGACCAAGAGCGATGAGAAGTATAGCTCACCCCCGGTAACCCGTTCTCATTTTTTCCTACAATTATGGGCGTGTTTGAACTTTTTCAGCCCAGAACATTTATCTGTATACCACACATTTTTTTACTTTGCAAATAGGGTACTTAAAGGCTCACGCCTATTTCCATCAATAAACTGAACTGAACTGAACTAAGCGTACCGAGGTGAAGGCTCGATATGAGCGAGCATTATTTAATTAACGGGTTTATGGAGGCACGGAGTGGCCTACATACGAGGACCTGGTTGATCCAACACGTGGACAACCGTGAGCTGGCCTTGCCTGGCTACCAGATGTTTAGAAGGGATAGGGAAGGGCGTCAGGGAGGAGGCGTACTCACGTATGTAAAATATGGGCTAAATGTATCAGACAAGACCGATAACTTTTCGTGCAGTTCCGAGGCAATCTGGCTGTCTATTAAAGTGCCGAGCTCGCCTAGCCACGATGTCCTGACAGTTTATCGACCGCCGAGACGGGACAACATGGCCGACGCTCGCCTGCTGGAGGAGCTCGAAAAGTTCGCTACGCGACCGGATATCCGATTCATGGGCGACTTTAACGCGCCCCATATTGACTGGAGCTCAACCCATGCAAATAGCTCAGAACGAACCTTCGATAGGAGTTTTCTGAACACGGCACTGAAGCTATTTCTCACTCAACACGTCATGTTACCAACTAGAGTACGCGAAGGCCAACAAGCAAACTGCCCTGATCTTGTCCTTACGAAGTCACAGGACAGCATTGATGAGGTGTCATGCCTACCCCCCTTAGGTAAAAGTGACCACGTCGTTCTTCTATGGGATTACTCGCTTTTTGCATGCCCGAGAAAACCGGGACAGTTAGAAGAAACATTTGGCGTGGGGATTTCGACCAAATGAGGGCTGAAATTTTACGCATTGAGTGGGAGTCCATATTTGTTGGGAGCATACTCGAAGACTGGCAACGGTTCCGAGAAATTCTGCACGAGCTGATCGTAAACCACTGTCCGCTTTCACGGAAGAGGTTAACTAACAGACCTCGATGGCTTACGCAAGCCTTGAAGAATGAAGTGAATAAAAAACGTCGGCTGTGGAAAAAATCGCTTTCTGACAGGAACCCCACATCTATATGCACGTACAAAATTCAAAGAAATCGTGTCAAGGGTCTTATCCTCAAAACTATAAAGGAATTCGAATGGGATCTGCTAAACCGTGCTGCGGAGAACCCTAAATTATTCTACGGTTACATTAGGTAGTGCACGCGGAACAAGGACCCAATACCCATGCTAAGGACTGCTGAAGGCGAACATCTCACTGACGACAGGGCGAAAGCGGATCACCTTTCAGAATTTTTTCGGTCTGTTTTTAGTAGCGAAACAGGATGCAACCCTTCGGCCCCTCAATCCGTCGAACACACCCCGATTATAGAGACCGTCCAGTTCACTGAGGGTATAGTTCTGACAGAGTTGCTGAGGCTAAAAGAATCCAAATCACCAGGTCCCGATGAGATTCCGGCGAAGATTTTGAAGGAATGTAGGTGAGCTTTAGATTCAGTGCTGTTTTATTCACCTGAATAGACGCACCCGAGGTCAATGCTATGTCAGAAGACAGTCAGGATAACTCGGTTATTCTTGTGGTTCTATAGCAATAAACAGTGAGATTAGCGGAGCACAATAGAGTTAATAAGGTGGAGAATAAATTGAAAAGTGGACGTACATTCGAGGTGATAAGACGAGCAGTCAGCGAATGACGCCAAGGTGTGGTGGTCGGTTTATAAGCGAGCGGCAACAAAGAGCAATAGGCAATGGACAGGTAACAATGAACAAAGAATGACAAGAACCGACGAATAGGGATACAAAGACAGGGTGGCATGCGTAAAGTCTGGTTACTAGCAAACGGTTAGTAGCAAAGTAAAGACCAGAACAGAAATTGACATCAGGGATGTCACACTCCCCCGCGGAGTCGCGGTCTCCGAGGGCCTGAAAGCGTCACGGAGTTTCCATTTGATCCACTTCTCCTTCCAGTGGGCAAACTTGACGGATGTCCCTCCGTACATGACCTTTTTCTGTGCGAGCGGTGACTCCACGAGTTAAGTTGTCCGATCCTGCGTGTACTTCTTCGATTATTGCCTTAGGCCAGACACCTCGGGGTTTGTCTGCCTCCATTAGCAGAACAAGTTGACCAATCCTGGGACTCGGATGCGTAGATTGCCACTTCCGACAAACTGCGAGTGTTGGTAGGTAGGCTCTTAACCATTTCTTCCAAAAGGTATCCGCTAGGAGTTGTGCCTGTCGCCATCTTCTATTAAATTGATTCTTTGGAATCGTACTTGGTATTGGCTCGGACGAATTACTTCTTAGTAACAGCAACTTACTCGGTGTAAGTGCATACTGATCATCCGGGTCGTCACTCTGTCTTACCAACGGCCTGTCACTTAGAATTCGTTCAATTTCAGTCATAGCCGTATGTTGAACTTCATCAGTGAGGCGTTGTTCTTCTAGCACCACAAGGATAATTTGTTTGACTGTGCGAATCATTCTTTCCCATACACCACCTCTATGGCTGGCTCGAGGGGGGTTGAATACCCAGTCGCACTCACGGATCAGCAGCGATTTCGCTATTTTGTCCTGGTTCCACATTTTAAGCAGTTTCTTTATGTCGCCTTCCGCACCCTTAAATTTGCTTCCGTTGTCACTGTATAGTCGCTGTGGACAACCTCTACGTGCCACAAATCGATTGAAAGCACACAAGAACGAATCGGTATCTAAGGAGTGCGCTACTTCCAGGTGCACAGCTCGAGAACTGAAGCAGGTAAACAGACAACCATATCGCTTTTCGACGGAACGTCCCCGTTTAACGAACATCGGACCGAAATAATCAACTCCTGAAATCGTAAAGGGGTCGCAAGTCTGCACAGTCCGATCGATGGGGATCGGAGCCATAGCTTGTTGGTATGGTCGAGAAAACCATCTCCGGCACTTGAGACATCTTTTCAACGAGGATTTTATCGTTTTGTTGGCCCGCAATATCCAGTACCGCGTCCTTATTGTAGCTAGAATATAGTTTTGTCCCATAGGACCGTTCAGTTCGTGATAATGTTGGATTAGTAGATGCGTCACAAAGTGTTGGGACGGTAAAATGATCGGATGTTTAGTCTCGAGCGGTAGACAGCTGTTCTGTAGTCGTCCCCCGACGCGTAATACTCCATCCACGACGATTAGTGTAAGGCATCTCAACGAACTAGACACTTTGCGAAGGGATTTTCTTTTGGCACCGCACCGTCTAAGCGCATCATCAAAGGTACTGTTGTTCCCAAGGAGCTTCATCTCATAGGGGAACGCTTCTAATTGCACCATCCTTATAATTTCTGATGACGCTTCCCTCATCTCTGCCAATGTCAGTCTACCCTTTGGGGTTGTGTAGGGATTCCTCAAATATCCTTTATAACGAAGAATCCAGGCTGCGCATCTTTGAAGTTTGCTCCACGAGGCTAAATGACTATAGCGAACGATCACTGTGGCAGTTTGTTGAAGTACGCTGACACGCACTGAGTCCGAACCGAGGTGTGTCGTTACGCAAGCATTTTCTATGACCGGGAGTGATTGTTCTGTTAGAATCACCGGAAATTCAGGACCATTTTTCCAACGTTCTAGCTTATTTGTTTCGTCCGCAAAGACACCACGGGATAGCAGGTCGGCGGGATTCCGCCGGGATTCGATGTGTCGCCATTCGTCTGGACTAGAGAGATCGCGTATAAGTGATAAACGATTGGAGAAGAAGGTGGGAAAACGTTTCGAAGTGTTGCGAATGCTTTGGAGCACCACAAGAGAGTCTGTCCAGTAGAATATTGTTGAAATCTTCACGCTCATTTCTGTGCGGATCAACCTGGCTATCTTAACAGCTACCACAGCTGCCATTAGCTCCAGGCGTGGTATACTAGTCGCGCGAATAGGGGCGATTCTGGCCTTAGAAAATATTAACCGAGATAGCGTTGTTTCGCTTTTGCCTCCCACGACCATGTAGGCAACTGCGCCGTAAGCGGTTTCCGAGGCGTCACTCAAGACATGGAGTTGAAACTCGTAGTTTTGTTTCGCCTCCTCTGGCCTGATGCATCGGGGTACGGAGAAGCGTTCAAGGTTAGGCATTGCATTTAACCACTTTCTCCACAATGTCCACTCTTCACCACATATCTCTTCGTCCCAACCTTCTTTGCGTTTACATAAATTTTGCAGGACCTTTTTTTGCGAGTATCGTCACTGGGGTAATGTATCCCATCGGATCAAAGAAAGACGAAACATGTGAAAGTAGGTTCCTCCTAGTGAACTGTTTGGTCATGGGACGCACAAAGAAGCGAAATTCGTCTCGTTCAAGGTCCCAACCCACCCCGAGTGCTAGGTGCATTGCGGGATCCCGACGACCCAGCTCTATAGGGGTGGTGGCCTGTTCCGACTCGGGTATGGACGTCATTAAAGTGACACTGTTGCTCTTCCATTTGTGCAGTTTGAAGCCCCCCTTGCATAACATTGACCTTAGCTGCTGTGAAAACCGGAGTGCCTCGTTCTCATTTCGCACACTGACCAAACAATCATCCACATAGAAGCATCTTTTCGCCTCCTCGAGGACATCTTTATCACAGCTTTCCGCACTGTCAGTGATGGCTCTGTTAAGCGCGAAGGTTGCACAACTGGGGGAGGATGTAGCTCCAAACAAATGTACGGTCATCCGGAATTCTTTCGGTGGTTGCGATAAGTCACCATTCGTCCACCAGAGAAATCTTAAAACGTCACGGTCTATCTCAGGCACCCGAACTTGATGGAACATCGATTCAATATCGGCCATGATGGCGACTTTCTCCTGTCTGAATCTCAAAAGTACCCCGATTAGCGAATTGGTCATATCAGGTCCGGAGAGTAGTTGATCGTTTAGGGAGATTCCGTAGAATTTAGCTGCGCAGTCAAAGACCACACGTATCTTATTTGGCTTGGCTGGGTGGAAAACGGGATGATGGGGAAGGTACCAAGAATAGGCTGCATCCTTGACCGGAACCTCTTCAGCATATCCAGACTCAATGTAGTCATTCATAGTTTTCGTGTATATTTGCAACAAGTCCTCTGATTTTACGAGTCGTTTACTGAGCAGTCGGAGGCGCTGTAAGGCGCATAGCTTGTTATTCGGAAGGACTGATGGGTGAGTTCTCCAAGGTAGGGCTAACATATAATGACCATCGCGGAAACAAAGGGTTTGGTCTATAGTCTTCAACGCGATTCGATCGTTTACAGACAGATCTTTGTCTTTGGTTGGTCCCTCGTCAATGGAGTCTTGTTGATAGAACAGCTCCAGATCCTTCTGGAACTCAACGAAGTTCGAGCAGTATACCCGTTTCTTCTCTCTGGGAGTCAGATGTACAGGTCCCATCATTATCCATCCCAAGGCCGTTCGAATGGCGTATGGTTCGTCTGCTTTACCTAAGCATTGATCCTGTACCCAGTGGGCTTCCGGTACATCGCATCCTAATAACAGCCCGATCCCCATGTTTTCGCGTGATTCGAATTCGATCGCACTCAAGTGAGGCCAGAGTGAGGCTACCTTATAATTTGGCATGATTCGACTCACTTGTGGTAGAGATTTGACAGAGTAAGCTCGTTTGACGTGAATAGAAGTTTTTGTGCCTTTAGCTTCTACGTCGAACTCTACTTCCATGGTCTGGAATACAGTTTACTTATTCAACGTTGATATAACGATATCCTTGCCTTTACCCTTCATTTCAAGAGCAGACACGAGACTCTCATGTATGAGCGTTGAGTCGGAGCCGTTGTCTAAAAGTGCCAAAGTTCGTGCCGTGTGTCGTTCGTACCGGACCGTCACTGGAACAACTGCGAGGGCTACCCTTGGAACCTCTTCTTCGTGTCTGACTACCTGATGACTGAAAACATTCGACGGGCTACTGAGCTCTTCGTTGTCGTGATGTAGTAGAGTATGATGTTCTTTTCCACAGCCCTCGACTGTACATCCGCGAGGTGATCTGCAGTTCTTAGCGATATGATTCGCTTTCAGACAACGGCGACACAGTTTGCACTCTTATACAATCCTTCTCCTTTCCGTCTGGTCAGAGGCCGCAAATGTTGGACATTTATCGGGATAGTGATCTTCTCCACAGACCGTGCAACAGAACGGGAAAGGGGCCCCATTACGCTTTATTTCCGTGCTGTTTGAAACAAGCACATTCCTTTGAGGATGGTTTGACAATCTGTGTGTTCTACTGGGCTGCTGACCTTCATGATCTCTCAACCTAAATGCCAATTCTCCGAACCGAGTACAGGCAACATCAACGCGTTCTTCTATGAAGCCCGCAAGATCTTCGAATTGCGGTTCTTCGCCCTGACGTATTGCATTTGCAGCGGTTTCAGCCCATTTAAATCTTAATTGGGAGGGTAGACGTCTCACAATCGACTCCAGAGTTCTGCTGGAGTTGAGATCGGACGCATAGTTGAGTTGTTTCAAGGTTGCCACGCAAGCTTGCATTTGCTGGCTGAGGTGAACGAACGCTGCAGTGTCGTTGCCTTTTATTTGAGGTCCGTCGATTAATGCATCGATAAAGGCTCGGGCTACCATATAATTCTGGCCGAATCTTTTTCTCAAAATTTCTTTGGCCCTTTTAAAACCTTCGTCGGCGTCTAATATCGCACAATGTTGTATAGCCTCCTTCGCTTTCCCTTCACAGTACTGTAGCAGGTAAGTGAGGCATGTGGTGCTGTCATTAGTTTTTCTTTCAATTAGAGAATGGAACTCCTTCACAAAAGCACAATAAAATTTAGGGTTTCCGTCGAACTTCTGAATTTCACGTTTTGGCAGCTCTAGATGATGCTCTGTGGTGCGAAATGAAGGTTCGACATTATCATTCGAACTACCATCTCTCTGTTGAGCGATCGCACAAACCTCGTCATCTTTATTCAATTCTCGACTTTCCATTTTCATAAGCTGTAATTTTTCCAACTCAATGCGTCTTTCGATTTCTAGTAGACGCAGTTTGCTGAGCTCTATTTCAAGTCGCTGTCTTTCTAAATCTCTTTGATCTAAGGCGATTGGTGAAGCAGGTTGTGAGTGCAGCGACAGATCCGGAGGGCTGTTGTCTGCGATTTGCTCGAACATGACTCGAATAACTTTTGTAGGTGATCTTTAGATTCAGTGCTGTTTTATTCACCTGAATAGACGCACCCGAGGTCAATGCTATGTCAGAATACAGTCAGGATAACTCGGTTATTCTTGTGGTTCTATAGCAATAAACAGTGAGATTAGCGGAGCACAATAGAGTTAATAAGGTGGAGAATAAATTGAAAAGTGGACGTACATTCGAGGTGATAAGACGAGCCGTCAGCGAATGACGCCAAGGTGTGGTGGTCGGTTTATAAGCGAGCGGCAACAAAGAGCAATAGGCAATGGACAGGTAACAATGAACAAAGAATGACAAGAACCGACGAATAGGGATACAAAGACAGGGTGGCATGCGTAAAGTCTGGTTACTAGCAAACGGTTAGTAGCAAAGTAAAGACCAGAACAGAAATTGACATCAGGGATGTCACAAGGAACTCGCCGGCGAGTTGTCTAAGCCACTCTCCATGCTTTTCCATACATCCTTCGAGACCGAATATCTGCCACCCGACTGGAAGGCGGACCGGTCAGCCTCACCTCCATTTGCTGTAAGATTATGGAGAAGATAATAAAGCAACAACTAATGCAGTTCCTTGAACATAACCATTTGCTTACCGATTCTCAGCATGGATTCCGAAAAGGCAGATCCTGTGTGACAAACCTGCTCTACTGTCTGCAACACTGGACTAGGGCTGTTGATAGAGGAGATATGGTGCATGCCATCTATATCGACTTTAAAAAGGCCTTCGATAGTGTGCCTCACCACCGCCTTCTATACAAACTTAGCCGTGCAGGAGTGCGAGGTAAGCTTCTGATGTGGATTCGCAGCTTTTTAATCGGCCGCTCTCAAGCCGTCCACGTCGGTGACTTACAATCTGCCGAGGTTGCCGTTAAGAGTGGTGTTCCCCAATGCTCTGTTCTTGGCCCTACACTGTTCCTCGTATACGTCAATGGCTGCGCAAACGAACTAAATTGAGATGTCGCAATGTTTGCCGATGACACAAAGATCTGGAGTACCATACGAAGCGAAGTTGACGAGGCGTGACTGCAGACAAATCTGGACCACCTCGAGCAATGGTCGAAAGACTGGCTTCTACCGTTCAACGTAAACAAGTGTACTTTCCTACGCGTCGGCAGAACCAGTTTTCCTAACCACGCGGTCTACCGTGTGACTGGCAAACCACTGCAAGAAGTCGACGCCCAGAAGGACCTGGGTGTATGGATCATAACTTCGCTTAAGCCTTCACTGCAATGTTCAAAGGTGGCCAAGTCGGCGATATCCATGCTATACTTTGTCAAACGGGCGTTCTCCTCCTTTGATGAAAACTGCTTCGCCAAGGTCTTTCAAACTTTTGTGCGACCGCATCTGGAGTTTGTTATCCAAGCATGGCGACCCTGTTCCTCTAAAGACTTGGGCATACTCGAAAAAGTTCAACGGCGAGCAACGAAACTTGTATCTGGACGGTGGTCACTACCCTACGAAACACGATTAGCTAATCTTGACTTCTTTGCTTTGAGTTACAGACAGCTACGTGGGAACCTGATAAAGCTTTCTGCATCGTGCGCAATCAGGGCTGCTGTCTCGCGTTTAGAGACTTCTTCGAGTTGGCGACTACGACTAACCTGAGAGGCCATCCACTCAAACTGCGTGTGGGTGGTGCCCGGCAAGACACCCAAAACTGTTTCTTCTCCAACAGAGTGGTTGCAGCTTGGAATGCCTTGCCTGAGGATGTTGTTATGTCGGGCTCGGTAGATACTTTTAAATGGAGACTAAATCAGCATTGTAGCGCGCACCACCATAACGCCGGACTAAGGTCACCTTGGCAGCCAACGCAGAGAATTTACTGTTATAACGATGCTACTACCAACATTTAACTGATATATGTTTATGTAATTTATTAAGCTTGGGCCACGTCGCACACCGCTGTTCGCATTCACCACGATGCCTGTAGACTAAACAATTTTCCTTCTTTTCCCGTATCTTAAGTGTGCCTCAACTGTCCGCTGCATTTGGTCAACAAAGCAAGTTAATGTGCCTCTTAAATCTGTTAACGCATGATATTCTGTGTTCATCTGTACAGTTTTTGCTATTCGCTCGCATTTCTTTCATGTTACTTCCTTTCCATTTCCTCCATATATATCCTCTGCATGTAACCAATAGGGATTTCAAAGGTACACACCTACTTTCCCTGAAATATACTGATACTGAGAGAGAGATGTGCTTCATTTTGGAATGATCATGCCGAAATTTTCAGCAAATAGACTCCAATCAAAGTCAACAAAGTGGGTAAGCAGAGTAGATAACACTACAGGATCACAAGTGATAACAGCCGAAAACTGTAACTGTCGACAACATGAAGAGTGGCTGGTAGATGAATCGCAAAATCCGCGTCAGATTTGACCTCCTTCGAAAAACAGCTAGCGTAGTGCGCAGAGGACTCATTATTGTGGTGCAGATCAACAAAGAGGGGAAAAAGCAGTGCACAATGACTAGAATGGACCAAAAGATATATGTGTAAGAAAGTTCCAATGTGAATGGAGAGCAAAAAGAGATAGGAACTCAAATTAAAAAGCCCGCGTTCATGCTTAACCAAATCGGTCAAGTTGCATTTTTCGCGTTGAAGACCATATCTGGCAGCCGCACGAAATTATTTATCCTCAGGTACCTGCACTCGAATTTTTTGTCGTAAACTTCCATAACTGTAGCACATAAGTCACAGGCTTACTGGTCAGTACAGGCTCTGGACCAACCTTTCCACATGGGATACGTATTCGCTGCAAAAACAAACGACAAATACACAGGCGCGATCTGGAGGATGTCAGAACAAAGTCTTTCAGTACCTTAGGTGGTATTTTATAGCCAGCTAGTAATTTCGGTTCACCAGGTGGGGGCACTTATGGCCTTCGGATTCCTCATGTGAAAAGCGGATTTTCAGTGACTGCCGTTGGCTTGAGTAAGAAATGCAGGCAGAAATAGTTGTTCTGAAAAGTAGGAATACTTCATGTATTAGCACGACTAAAGGATTATTTGCGCTGACGGGTTGAAATCTAGCGGCCGAGTTATGTTGATAGCATCCTCTTTATTCTCGTCAACGTGTCCGTAAACATGTTTTCTTCTCCGTGGACACGATGAGGGAGCCAAAAAAACAGACAGATGTCGTCGATTGGAAACCTCGTGACGATTGAACTCAGCCCCATTGGGTGGCAGCGATTGGATCACGTGCGGGTCAATAATATGCGGAGGTGAGGGATATCACATCAACCCTATC